GAGAGGGGGAGGAGAAGAGAGAGGGAGGTGGAGGAGGAGGAAGAGGTGCGGGGAGCGATGTGTAACTTGGAAGATTCCCTGTCTAGCGCGTGGCAACGCGTTTAAGGGTTAGAGGTTCCGGAAAGGAAGTGTGTCCCGACTGTTTCTTTCGGCGTGAGGGCGCGCTTGTACAGGCGAGAAATGCTTATCATGTGCAGCATGCGTGTGTGCGTGCGTGCGTGCGTGCGTGGGTGGGTTGTTGCGCGTGTGCGTGTGGATGTGTGCGCGGCTGTGTGTGCGCGCGTGGGTACGTGCGTGCTTAGGTGTGCGTTCTTGCGTGCGTGCGTGGGTGTGTGTGTGCGTGCGTGTGCGTATGCGTGCGCGGGTGTGCGTATGCGTGCGCGTGTGTGCGTGTGTGCGTGCGTGCGCGTGCATGCATGCATGCGGGCAGACGGATGCAGGAAGCCTAGGTGCTGTTTGTTGGTTTCTGCAACGCTTTGCATACGGTGACACCATACCGACACGTCACCACCCCACGTGCGTGCGTGCGTGCGTGCGTGCGCATGTATGTGCGTATGTGTGTAGCGGCAAACCTCGCCACCGCTTATCAGAACTAACACTAACGTTTTAATTGATAGTATGATAGTAAAAATAATAATAATAATAATAATAATAATAATATATAGAATTATTAACTACTAGTGTCATGATTAATATTTGCGAATGGTGTCGTCGCATTCGCCGGTATGGAGGCGACGATGACGATGACGATGACGATGACGATGACGATGACGATGACGATGACGATGGTGGTTGCGGTGTAGTAGGCAGGCGTAGTAGATAGCATAGAAATGCTGGAACCTTTTAGCGGCTATAGATGTGTATAAATTCGTTTTCAGTTTGCATTTATGAATCGCGGTCAGTGTTGGAACAAGAGAGGAGTAGAATATATATATAGCAAGTAATTTCTAGATAATGCCACTAGGAGGCGCTGTGTTTATAGGAAATTCGACTATCCAGTGCTAAGTTTTGGCCGCCGTGCTATGCATAGGGAATTTACGTGTACAGATTGTTGTTTGTTGAGATTTCGTTGGTATTTTTGTGAGTTAGGCTGTGCCAAAATCCCAATATAGATACGTTGCAACATGTTTCTGTGACATGACTTACACCCGAAACCCTGAACTTTCGCTGCCGAATATATATATATATATATCAAGAGTACATAATAGAGAATACATAATACATAATCTCTATTATGTACTCTTGATATATATGTATGTTTGTATATTCGGAACCGGAATGTGTCTACCCGAACGCCACCTGACGGCGGCATTTTATTACGAAGTGGATCTGAGATAGCGGCGTGACTTTCACAAAGAAAGGCGCCTTCTTACTTTTGCTTCTATAATATATATACTCACCTGACAGTCGGTTGTCGTTATCATTATTGCGTGTGTGCGAGCGAAATCTAGGGATTGCTGAAGGCATCTATACGAGAAAAACGTGGAAAATATACGATGCGAAACTATCTTATTACGATAACACTGTTGTTCACGCCTTGTGTGTCGTCCCTGCTGGGGTTTGTATTTTTTGTTACTCTCTCTCTCTCTCTTTCTCTCTCTCTCTCTTTCTCTCTCTCTCTCTCTCTCTCTCTATTTCTCTCTCTCTCTTTCT